ACAACCTGTGGCTATTTGGGCCCCTTCTGAGCAGGTAGGTTTTATCTTTCTTTCACATTTCTCACCCCCACACCTACTCACCACCTAGTCCCCTATCCTTAGCTTAACTAGACCTGACTAGTTAATCATCCCTCAGCCACCAGACACTATATGTAATTCATATGTAGGACTTCCCTCCTAGTCTTAAAGATCTCCAAGTTTTAGGAAAATGAGTGATCCTCCAACTCGTTTTTTCTCCTCATTAGACAACATCTGACCTTAGTCCTTTTGCCTTAGAATTTTGGAGAGGAATTACATAACCAATGCGCTGGTCAGGACTACCGTAGCACTCACCATGTTCAATGCAGGGATCAAGGTAATGTTGGCTGGTTCCTCATGTATACCTTTTCCTTGCTGCCCATTCATGCCTCCACTCCTTGGGTTTATCTCCTGGCTCCTTCTTTCTTCTCTGGTTACAATTAGAATAATAGGAAGGCCCAGTGCTGAACTGCCCTGTGTCATTCATTGAGTATCCCTCAAGAGCAAGAGTTCTAACTGACATCGCAAACTCTCTGAAATTGTTGGCCAAATTTTGTACATTAGTATTTTAGGGGTGTCTGTGATTCCCCTCAGGTACTTTGGGTCTGTACCAAAAAAAAAAAAAAACAGATATTATACTAAAGTAAAGAGGGTTTATTTGGGAGTTAATTCTTGCAACCTATACTTATCCAGCATGTTATATATTTGCCTAGCATTTTGGTCATATAGTTAAAGGTTTCTAATCTTTCTACTATCAAAGATCTTTTTATTATTCTTTCTCATATTTTGAAAGATATAACCACCTAATAAATTTAACAAGTGATTTATGTATTTTCCCCTAGTGTTACCCTGAGTTGAAAAAAAGAAACTCACCTGCCATTTATAAAAATCTATAACATTTGTGAAAAATACAGCACTTCAAATATATACATTGTCATTCCCAAAATACTTAAATATTGGGTAGCCTTAGCAAACATAAATTCTATATGAGGTTTACTTTTATAGAAATTAAGTTTCAGGTGAATTATTACTTTGATAAAATTTTTAAGAACTACTTTCCAGCAAATTGGTCTGCTTCCAGTTGGGTTGGCCACTCAGGGGCATCTCCGTTTAAAGGAAGCCAGGCCATTCTAGTTAGCATGGGCTTAGGCCTTTCTGAAGTCTTGAAGGAGTTAGACCATTCCTATTACCACCAGCACCACCAACACAACTTCAAGGAAGATCATTCACCTAGAATACAATGTGGCCTTGTGGAGCTCTGGTCATCTGGAGCCCAGGTTGAGTGGAAGTGAATGGTGCCTCAGAATTAATTCCTGGCATAACTGACTGGAGTGTTCAGTATGTCAGCCAGACTTGAGCTGTCTTCACCAGCTGCCTAGAGTGTCCAGCAAAATAATAGTACTGTGTCCTTTCATCTGAATGGTGTTTTTTTCTGTGCATAATACTTTAATATTTGTTACTCCATTTGATCCCCCTAACAGCTCTATGAGTATTATTGCCCCAATTGCCAGTTGAGAAACAAAGGCACAAAGAAGTCGTACTTATTCAAAATCAGACAACTAAGTTGCAGCAGCCCAGATCTCCTGACCCTAGTCTAGTGATTTTTTTGCACCACATCAGTTCAAAGAGAGATCTGCAATTGGGGAGTCTGTTTTTTCTTGACCTCCAAGGAAAAAAATCCGTCTATAGCTTAACTCTTTTCTGCAGTTAGCCCTTGATTGTTCCTGGTCAGGCAAAGAACAGTAGAATTTCACAGTTGGATGTGAGAAACCACCACAGACAGCACCACTATGATCCCCCTAAGGAATCAAACAGGCGGCGACAGGGCCTGAGAGGCTCCTGGTGCCCAGTCCTGAGCAAACACTAACACTAACCCCTGCAGAAAGGTCCCAGGCCCCTGGGAAGGAGATCGCACACAGAAGACTGTCAATGGCGCTGCCTGGGGCCAAAACAGACATCTGGGCAGGCACAAAGAAAGTAGTCTTGCTCTAAGTGACCCCCTCGAGACCCGAGAAGCACAAAGGTCTACCCTAAAGCAGAAACACGCCTCTAATTCTGAACACAATCACATGGCAAGGGCCCAGGGAGGACAAGGATCTGACTTAAAAAATTAAGCTCCAGATCTTTAAATCTAATCAGCTCCCTCTCCCTTCACTGGTAGAAATTGGCATTTCCTGGGCAGGGATAAGGTGTGGGGATTTGAGATTGGCTCAGACCAATGTTTGTGGTTCTCCCATTAGATGAATGTCATCCCCCCAGTGGCTCAGGCCATAGTCAACTTCCGGATTCACCCTGCACAGACAGTCCAGGAGGTATGTACTATGTGTTACTGATGACTGGTTCAGCATCAGGGAGGTATGGCCCTTGGGACCTGGGGTTAGCTGCAATCCCAGGGCTGGCCCACTCCCATTTGTTCAACATTTTTCAGAGGCTCCCGATGTACCTGGTACATGGCCAGGATAGATCACTGGTTTGGGAGAGTTTGGAGCAGGGTGGGCGATGAATACTAATAAATGATAACAATAGTAGCAGATGTACTGGGCTTGCTATGTGTGTGTGACACTCATTTAACATGCCCAAGATTACACATCTAGAAGCCAGACTCTGTGCTCTGTGCTTTAAGCTACCACACTATACTATGATTTTAACAGATTGGACCATAGGAATGGTTCAAAGAAGGGAACCGATGCTACCTCTGAGGGTCAGGAAAGTCTTTTCTGACCACTGGAAATTTGAGCTGGGACTTAAAGGACAAATAGGACTTTGCTAGAAGTAAGGCATTCAGAGTAAGGCTAAAGTCAAGTAAGGCTAAAGAGTAGGATACATTGGGAAGAAGTGATGGGAGATGGAATTGGAGGTATAATTTGGGGATCAGGGCCTTGTATGTTGTGCTGATGAGTTTGGGCTCTCATCTGTGGACAGAAGAGAACTGTCAGAGGTCTTCAAACAGGGCAGTGATCTGCTCAGCTTTGCTTTTAAGGAGGTAATGCTGGAGTAGGAAAAGACAGGAAGCTGTGGTGACATCTTAGGCAGTGGGTGTAAAAGTCTCAGTTGAGTCTGTGGTCATGGGGTGAAGAAGAGGGTTCCCACAAGAGATGTGAGAGAGATAGGTTGGCAGAGAAATATAGAGGTCAAGAAGGTTGAGAAACTTATAATATATTTATAGACAATTATAAATACCTCTGGTCTGGAGAGAGAATGAACTTGAGATACATGCCGAAGGGCTATTAACATAATTGAAACTCTAGAGTCAATAAAATCCCAAGGGAAGGATGTGTACAGTTAGGAGAGAAGAGGGTTGAGGAGAGAGACTTGCAATGGTCTGCTACAAACAACTTAAAATTTATAACAATGGTCTATGGCCATGCTACCCTGAACAAGCCCGATCCCATCTGATCTCGGAAGCTGAGCAGGGTCAGGCCTGGTTAGTACTTGGATGGGAGACCACCTAGGAAGACCAGTTGCTGTAGGCGTAAAAAAAATAAATAAAAATAAATAAGGGATTGTAAGCTGACAAGGTCCTTGCAATCTGTGAGGTCAACCAAGGGTTGCCTCGTCTAAAAAAAAAATTGATAACAATGAATGTATAATGGCAAACCGTGATGGGTACTATGACATAAAGGAACCAGGTACTACTAGAGAATATAACAAGGAGCCAGGCCTTGTGTGGGGTCAGGCAGGGCTTTCCTGAGGAAGTGACATTTGAGCTGAAAGCTAAAGGGTGAGTAGAAGTTACACAGAATGTTTGACATCTACAGGAAAGGCCAGCTTATTTAAACATCAGGTCGAGCTAAAAAGAATTCAAAAGGTAAATCTGATCCTTAAAAAAAAATGACCAAAAGAAGCAACTAAACAACTAACAGGTGAATAACACGTTCTAGAATTAAGCAAAGTTGGGGTGGGTGGTGTTTCCTGGATCTCTAGCACAGATCACTGGGAGTCAGCCACACTTAGATGTCTGTGGTCCTTTCTCCCTAAGGTCTTCTTTGTCTTGTCACACAGAGTAGGAGGCACAACTCTCACCGTAGAGCGAGGGGAACAGGTTAACAGCCTGCCCAGAGTCACCCAGCATTGGGGGGGAGCTGGGACCAGTGTGAGCCCTGGGCTCTGCTGCTTTTCATCAAGTGCCAACCTTTGTCCTCTCCCTGGGGGCTCATGAGGCCAGGAAATCACTGAATTCCCCTCATTGAGCTTCTTTCCACCAGTTTTTTTCCAGCCTCATTCTAACTCCATGCCCTTTCCAAGGGCTGTTTCCACCAGCTGGGGCTTTCATCTCCCCAGGCTCTGGCACTCTTCCCTCCTCTCTAGTCCCCCGCCACAGTGGCCTTCCTTCCCTATCTGATGGGAGCCCTGGAATCCCTAGGCACATCCTGCCCACCTGCCCAGTGAGGAACGGAAAGCCTCTGTCATCCCGAAAGCACACAGCACCCATTGTCCTGGTCACTCCTCTCCCTCGTGCCCCAGTTCCATTCATCAGGGACAGTCCCTGCTGGTCTGAAGGCCACAGGTACTGAGTCCTAGGCTGATCCTGCAGGAACACAAACAGCTCCCAGAGTCGTCCTCTTCCATGTGTAATTGGTCTCTCCCATGTTGTGGTTGTAGACAGGCCTTTATAGTCTGTCAACGAGGAGCAAGAGTTCAGAAATGTAATAGGCCACCATGTGGAAAGGAAGGTTTGTTCTGAATGGGCCTCAAAGGGTAAAAATAGGGCCACTGGGAGATGCTTCGGGGAGACTCCACTTAAAGGAGTGTTTTGAAACATGGAGCCTTAGGTGATAATAAGCTCCTCAGAGGCTGGATGTCTGCCTAGCTAGAGTGTAACACAGAAGATTCCTTCCTTCTTCCTTCCTTCCTTCCCCAAGTGTTTATTGAGTGGCTACTATGGCATTCTTATAAGCACTTGAAAAAATGGTGAGCAAGATGGCCAAGATGCCCATTCCAATAGTGCTTATGTTCTAGTGGGGAGGAGACAGCAACAAGCAAGTAATCAAATAAATGAATAAGGTGATATTTTAAGAGGGGAGTACCACAAAGAAAATCATAGGATTATGTGTCACCAAGTGATTGTGGGGTGGGGTGGAGCAGTGAGCAGCTTTAAATACAGTGGTCAGTCCCCTCTGAGGAGGCAATTACACTGAAAGCTGAGAAGGAGCACAGACCTGGGGGACAGCATTCAGGCAGCAAGAGCATAGGCCTCTAATTTCAATAGAGGTGAAATTCTGTTGGGTGTTTATGATGTGTCTAGTACCATTATATCCTCTGGAGTACATGCAATATCCAAAACAAAAAACACAAAAAAAGCATTGGGCTTAGATGATGCAGGAAGCCATATCTCAGTTCATTATAAGGAAGACATTTATAACTGAGTTGCTCAAAGGTAGAATGGAATATAACACATGATGGTGAGCTTTCTGCCACTGGATGTGTTCGAGCACAGGTTAGATGACAACCTGTCACAGATGTTCTAATGAGCAGCCTTCCAGCAGGAGCTGGACTTTACAGCAGGACGGAAGCTGGACTTACCAGTTTTTAAGTATTCATTATCCTTGCCTTCAACAGATTTACTATCCATTTGAGAGGAAAATATATCTACACATAAAACAGAGACTGTCAGAGTTTAGAGAAATGAGAGATTAACCTTTGAGATATAAAATAACCTTTGAGATCCCTTTTACTACTGACAGCCCCTCCTCCTCGTCCCATCCTCGTACCTCTGATTATTACCCAGAGTGGTTCCTCTAATGTAAACAAGCACATAGCAGCTAACGCTTACTGAGTCTTTACTATGTGCCTGGTGCTGGCCTATAGCACATTATATATATTAATTCCAGTAATGGTCATGACCACTTACCAGGTAGGTACTACTATTATCCACATGTTGACAGAAGAGCAAGCTGAAGCGCAGAGAGGTGAAGGAGCTTACCCAAGGTCACAGAACAATCAGTGACTGTCCGAAGCACAGTTTGGTGTCACTCCTCAGTTTTCGTGCGTGCCCCTTTCCAAGTTCAGACTGCCTCTTGCCTTTTCTCCATCAGTGTCATATCCTTCCTTCAAATTCTTGCCCAAAATTCATACTATTGAGGAATCCATCTTAAATGAACACCACCCTTTACTCAGCACCTCAACCTGTATGTACTTTGGAAACAGTTAAGCATTGTCCTTTTGAAGTCAGACAGACCAGGTTCAGATACCCAGCCCAGCAGTACTAACTATATAACTGGGCGAGTTACTTATTGAGTTACTTATAACTCCCAGTATTATTTTTATTTTATCTTTTAAATTTCGTGTATTCAACATTTATTGCATGCCTTTCATTTTCTTGGTACCGGAAGTATAGAAATGAGGTAGACGTACTTGCCTCAAGTCAAGAGTGGGGTGAGCCCCTAGCCTCGTGGCTCATGAGAAGATTGAGCTCTGTGGCCTCTCTCTGAGGAGGTTCACTCAGTGCGCCCCCTTCAGTTTCTGGGGCAGAAATCCAAGTGATTTGGGTCAGGGGACAGCGGGCACAGTCCCGACCCACCTCGCAGAAAATGACCTCAGGAACTTCCCAGTGAGTCGAGACTGTGTCAAGACTATATATTAATTCTCATATTACAGTATTTAGGACATAAGTGCGAGGGTGAAAATAAGCTCTAAGTGACTTGACCACTCCCCCTCTCCCAAATCCAAAAGCAGGGAATTTGGTTTGGCTCAAATGGTGGTTTCTAAGCCAAAAGTAGGACCCCTCATTTCCTTTCCAGACTCAGTTCCCAGCATGTTTCTAGGAAACACTGACCTAAAAAGGGTATTCTTGAGACAATGTTCCCATTTAGGTGATCCCTAACTATGAGACACTCCCCTTTCTAGGGCAGAGGTAGTTCTAAAGCAACTGCTGATCCAATGGATCGAGACTAGTGCTTGGGCTTTTCCTAGGTGGTTGGGTGGGTTTTAGGGGCCACCCAAAGCCAGCCTCTTGGTCCATTCCCACATGGCTTCATGTGACCTGATCCTCAGGGTCTAGTCTACTTCCTGCCAGGACTTCTGCTGGGTTCAGCCCTAGTCATTTCAGACTGAATTTTCTAGGAGCTTCCTCAAGTTCCTTCCTGAGGAAAGAAGGCAAAGAGAAAACTTGCATACCAGTCACCCAACTTCTGACTTTTTGTCTGTGTTGAGCTCATCTTCCTGGCTCCAGTGCAGTTGGTAACAAACAGGAAGCAAGGGTGCCCAGAGAGGGGAAAAAAAAGTGTGTGGCCCATTCATCACCTGTCTGAGACAAACCCAGGTTGTAGTGAGGTCATCACATCCATCCTCCTGCCTTGAGATTTGCATTCTGCTGACTCTTCTACAGTCTCACCCAGGCCATGGCTCACAACCCAAGGGGAAAGACTCATTTCCTGATTTTCCAATTCCCCACCTGCCTCGTGGCTGTGAGGCAAGCCTCTCAAACATGTAACCTAAATCAACCATGCTGTAGATTGCTTTCCAGAAAGACCCAGTTCTTCTATCTCCTATAGTCAGTTGGCTGAAATTAGGTCCCAGTACTAAAATGAGTCTCCTCTGTGACTCTAGGGCTTAGTCTTGCTTGAGAGAAATTAGAACTGTTTAAATTCCTATTGGTGCTTGGATAGCAGATCAATAAGAAATCGAATTCCCTTTGTTTCCTCCCAAAGGTCCTTGAACTAGTCAAGAACATTGTGGCTGACGACCGGGTCCAGTTCCATGTGCTGAGTGCCTTTGACCCCTTGCCTGTCAGCCCCTCTGATGATGGAGCCTTGGGCTACCAACTCCTCCGCCAGACATTACAGTCCGTCTTCCCAGAAGTCAGCATTGCTGCCCCAGGTAATGACTTCATCTGCTGTAGCTGGAGGGAGGTAGGGGCTGGAACTGTTTCCTATCCAATGTCCACTGCTCTGCCCCCACCCCAGCTGTTCAGCCTGAAAACAGCTGGCTGCTTCCCCTCATGATGAGACTGGAACTGTATTTTCCCTTTGGAGTGGAAGTGAGAAAGCAAACAGGAAAGAGCAGAAACAATAAATTAGGTCAGTCAAGCCCTGGGTCTTGCTCAACCTAGGCCAGCCACTCTGGCATGGAGTTGAGGATTAGCCCAGACTCCCCCTCTCCTGGAGGAGCCACTTCTAGGATACAGCTCAGCAGCTGAGAGCTCAGCATCCGAAGCCCAGCCACACCTCCTGGCCTACGCCATTTGCATAACCTCCTTCCCCTGTCCTGGCAGTGGCACCTCTGTGCACCGTCCGCAGTCTTCCAGCACACTTTCCAGATCCACACTGTGTAGACACTGGTTCTCAAATTTAAGAGTGGAGGAGGATTCCCTAGGGAACTTATTAAAATGCAGATTACCTGAACCTATTCCCAAAGATTTGGGTTAACTAACTCTGGAGAGGACCCTGGAATCTGCCTTTAAAGCAAATACCGTGCCCCCCTCCCCCGCCCCCACGGGATTCTGACATCAGATGGAGAAGATGCTCTAATGTTAGGACCTGGGCCCATTTTCCTTTTATCTAGGTTTAATCATGGATTCCCTCAAACACTGTCTAAGCTCATACTTAGGACCCGCCCCTCTGCTATACATGGGCCCTAAAGAGCTTACAGTGAAATTCTACATCCACTGGTCCCTCTCACTCTCTGCCTGAGAGGAGACCACACTCTATCTATGCAGTGTTACCCCTTTTCTAACAAACTTTCCTTTTGACTCCAAAAAAAAAAAAACAATTCAACATCCACCAACTCAGGCATTAAAAAAGCAGCCTTGTTTGTTTAATCGACTTAAATCTGCCTGTAAGCCCCACTCCTCAAGAAATTCAACTTCAGACGTTATTGAGGCCTCCAAGGACCCCCCATCTCCCCCTCCTTGAATTAGGCCCTCAAGGCCTTATGTAGCAACGTAGCATTAGAGTCCCTTGGCCAGAGGTCATTGGTCCTTGTGGTTACCTTTGAGAAATCCCTTGTCCTCGCTATGAGGCCACTTCAGGTTGGAGACTTCCTCTGATTCATTCCCTGGCCCGTTTGGGAAGTGGGACCTTTGACTCTAGACCTAAGATCTCACCTCCCCGATGATACCAGTCAGCCATCCCTTCTGAGGTCTGCCACCTCCTCAGACTCCTGGGTCCCCGCCATCCAGGGACTCTGGCCCTTGCCATTGCATATCCTCTCTTGGCCCTCAAAGGCTCTCTACCTAACCCTCTCCCTTCCAGGGCGCCTGCCATAATCCCATTGACAGAGTTAGGCTTTTACAGAAAAAAGATAGGCAGCAATCAACTGGCAGAAATCTCCAAAGCAAGGAATTGTGAAGGGCCTAGTCACCTGTCTGAAACCAGGAGTGGAAAATGGAACAAAAGACAAGTTACCATCTCAGATCATCCCACCCCCCTGATGCTTCAAGGGGTCTTTTCCCAAAAAACACTACTAGTGAGGACAAGTCCCAGCCCCAGTTGGAGATTGAGATGAGCAGGTGGGATACCAAAGAGTATCGTGGGACTTTCCAAAGCTGAAGTTTGACTCTCAGAAGATAGAGGATGAGAGTAACAAGAAGTTATGTTGCACTTTAAGAGACTGTATTTTATAGCAGTAAAGTTCCCCAGAGGATGTTTATTTTTGATCTAGGATGATACAGAAGAAAGCCAAGGCAATAAAGAAGTGATATATAGATTTCTGGCTATCTAGATTTCTAAAGTAGCCTGGCTATGGGTAGGAAATGACCAGGTCTCCCTGGTCATCACAGAGAGAGGACACTTAGCTTTGGCCCATTCAGTGGATATTTCACTAATGCCCTAAGGAGGACCGTCCATGTTTCTTGCTGAAATGGTATTTCAGTAAAGTTTTGAGAATGGATAGGCTAAAGGACAAATATTCATAACTACAGCCTCCCGAGAGGACCCAGGCCTTGCTCTGCAGTGACCAAGGGTCCTGTTTTTTCCAGCCAGCCCACCTCCCAACACCTTCTTTGGCTTGGTTGCTCACATAAAGCTCCATTCCTCTTGATCTTCCCTTTCTAGGTATTTGTATTGCCAACACAGACAGCCAACACTACACAAACCTCACCACTGGCATCTACAAGTTCAGCCCCCTCTACCTGCAGCCTCAGGACTTCCAGAGGTGAGTGAACAAGTTTGATACAAGCAATTCACCTTTCTCCACCCTTTCCCCTGACAATCTGCAGAATGGGGGAAGACCAGGGTCTTCACAAACTAAAACGGAGACATTGTAGAACTCAACTAGCCAGCTTCTCTCATTGCCAGAGTCTTGCCACTCCCCAGAATGTATGGGAATTGGCCACTATTTTTCAGGGATGAAGGTGAAAAAGATGATTGGAGAGAATCTGGTAGAATGAGGACCCTCATGTGCTAACCCCAGCTCTTCCTCCCTTTGAGAGAGAGCCTACCCTCTGGACCTCATTGTCTCCCCCCAAAACAGGAGACTCCAGAGTTCTTGATTACCATTCAGTGAAATGCAGACACACATGAAGTCAGAAGTGGGTATGTGCTCTGAATTGTCAGAAGAAATCACGCAATAGGAATCTAACACATGATCACCCGCTTTAACTTTTGTGTATGAATTACTATTTTGTGGGTTCCTCAGCAACTTTTAAACTCAGGGTGTGGGAAGATGATTTCCATGTGTCTCTCTGCTCCTTGTCATATCCAGACCTGATTTCCCACCATTCAGTTGCCAACAGAATGAAATATTTGAATATGAGCTTAAGAACAGCTTTCCTGGAATTTTTTTGTTTTGTTTTTCATTTTGGTTTTGTTTGTTTATTTGTTTGTTTGTTTTTAATAGAGGGACAGATAGCTACTCTATTTCCTTTCATCTTTGAGGTTACAGAGCAGGAGATAATTTTCTGCTCCCCAGGGGTTTATTATTTACCCCCACTGTTTTTTACCATAGGCATGGATCTCCATGACATGAGCAATATGTCATATGAAACCTCACTTCTTATACATGGCCTCTCCCGCCTTGCCCACATCCTACCCCTGGAGGGTCAAAGGCCAGTGGCTTCAGGGGGTATGGGGTGGGGAATGCTCTGTAATAACATTTGTGCTTCAGCAATGGGCTCTCTCTTCTCTTCCCCCAAATCTATTTCCCTCAGCATCCACGGAATTAACGAGAAAATCTCAGTCCAAGCCTACGAGACCCAGGTGAAATTCATCTTCGAGTTTATCCAAAATGCTGATGCAGACCTGAAACCAGTTCCTCACAAGCACGAACTGTGAGGTCCAGGAGCCAGCTGAATCAGGATGCCTGACCCTGGGTCAGAACTAACCCAAGGGGGAAAGCCAATGTTGATAAAACTCTGGAGCAGAACCACATAGTAATACAACTCTCACCCGCCTTGCTTGCTTCTAAACTCACCCAATAACAAGGCCAGGGAGTAGGGG